GGCCACCGCAACCTCGACCTGCTGGGCTCTGGTGATCCTTCCGCTTCAGCCTTCCAAGTAGCTGGAACTACAGGCCCACGCTACCACACCCGGCTCATTTTGATTTATTGTAGAGATGAAGTCTCGCCAAGTTGCCCAGGCGCGTCTCGAACCCGCGGGCTCAAGCAATCCACTCATCTCGGCCTCCCAAAGCGTGGGATTACATGCTGAGCCACCGAGCCCAGCCAGAAGACCCTGTTTCTAAATTTAAAAAAAATTTTTTTAAAGAGAAGAATGAGAAGTTGGGGATGGTGAGGATAATGTCATTCTTTTTTTTTTTTTTTTTGAGTTGGAGTCTCACTCTGTCACCCAGACTGGAGTGTAGTGGCCGCTCCCGGCCATCGCAGCCTGGACCTGCTGGGCTCCAGCGATCCTTCCGCCTCAGCCTTTCAAGTAGCTGGAACTACAGGCGCGACCACGCCCGGCTCATTTTGATTTATTGTAGCGATGAAGTCTCGCCAAGTTGCCCAGGCGGATCTCGAACTGGCGGGCTCAGGCAATCCACTCATCTCGGCCTCCCAAAGGCGCGGGATTACAGGCTGAGCCACCCAGCCCGGCTCATTCATTTCTTAATTCCCTCTTCTTCAGGCTACGATTGGCAAAGATGAGGGAGGTTGAAGCGGCCCAGGGCCAGGCAGGTAAAGTATCCACCCCCATACTCCCCAGGCCCAATGCTGGAACTCTAGGCATCTGGCCCCAGGTGACCTGTCTCCCGCGTGCCCAACTGCAGTTATTTATTCAACAAATAACGTGTGTTGGTCACATCCGACATGCCAGGCCCTCGGAACAACAAGGACTCGCACAGGTCCCTCCCACGCGGAAGGCCTTGGCCGTCCGACCCTGCCCTTCCGCGATAGGCCTCCCCAGCCTGTCCTCCCTTCCCCCAGGAGATGAGACGTATCTTGACATCTTCCGAGACTTCTCCCTCATGGCGTCAGATGACCCGGAGAAGCTGAGCCGGCGTAGTCACGACCTCCACACACTGTGACCCCAAAGCCTGGGGGTCTTGTATCTCAGCCCCTCCCATCCCCACCGCCCGCACCTCCGCCATTAAAGCCTCTGTGCTGTGCTCTCTCCTTCGTAGTTCACTTATTGGGCGCCACCTTCGTGCCCCAGCGTATTGGGCGCTGTGGCTCCCGGGTGCGGGGAGTGTGCGGGCTCGGGTCACGCAGGAGGCGACTCCCCGGGGAGTGAGGTGGCAGCT